CACAAACTAGGTCAGTCAAACATCTCCGATACGTAACGGGAAGGAGATATTATGAACTATATTATAGCTATATTATAAATGGCGACTATATAGGGTGATCGCTTAACACAATTTACTTAAAAGCATCCGACTGTATATTATATTTAAGTATTTTTGTCTGACTAAAGAAGTTTAAAAATAAAACGCTTTCGAATCTTATTAATGACTCTATGTTATATTCTCTTCTGCTTTGTTCTTCTGAGCAAATGCTTATATCTCAATCTATACTGATATTATAAAGAGGAAAGACTTGTATTTTTGTATGTATTCGGTTCATGTAAAAACTATTGAGCCGATTTCAAAAATTCTTTCACCATTAGAAGGGTAACTTATGAGTAAGTACCATAACATAGGCTACTATTATTATATTTATTTTAATTTCACGTGAGCGAAGTCGCGAAAACCTAGTCTTTGATATTTGGAATCTCTGTGTTCTTTTAAAATGTAGTTAGGTACTGTTAGGAACAAAATTAGTACCGTGCTGTAGAGTTGGCGCAACTCTAGATTATCGGCATAAACGTCACGTCTCTAGCTGACAGCTGTCAATGTCACTAGAAGTATGGATAGGTTGGCGCGTAACTTGAGTCGTGACGAGAAGTGTTGCTCTGAGTTTAAAGCGACAGTATCAATTAAATAAGTTGTCTAAAAGTACTATTATGTTATTTTAAAATTCCCTAAATCAAAATGTCTAAACAAGTTAATTGGCAAAGATATAAAAGTACTTGGTATTTCCCTTTTGTTCGTGTTTAGTTGCTTTTGTGGCCCATTTGTAAAGGAACCCGGCGGCGGCGCGCTGTGTGAGAACCGTCTTTGAAATGTCCTTACTCCTTACTAACAGACCCTTTTAGCTAAAATCAACACGCGAAGAAAATCTTCTACACGTTTTAAAAGCTTCTCATGTTCAGTATTTTTAGTGAGTATAGGTTAATTTACTATTTGTAGAATTGTAAAGGTACAAATTAGATAACTTTAGCTTACATTACTTTATAATTATTCTTTTTATAAAAAACATTACTAGATTTTTGTTAATTTACTAATGTTTCCTTTAACCATTCCAACTAAGCTCTAAGCTTACGATATGGTTCACTATGATAGTCGAATGGCGGGCTTCGAACCCCCGACCTCAAAATCAGTAGTCCGTACCCCAGTAGGCTATTGGCCCCTCAATTGACATAGGAAGGTAACGAAGAACGAAACTTTTTGTAAAAAAAATCCGCAGAATTTTTAAAATTAATCGTTTTAATAATGTAGAGAGTTAATAATAAATCTAAAGTAGCTGAAAATAAGGAAAAAACTCCTTATAATTGTTTAAAAACATTCTCAATGGTTTGAATGGTACTTAGGATTGTATACTAAGAATAACAGTACGTAATAAGATCCTTATTACAATTCAAATAGGACTTAAAATTAAATAAAATCATATTTTCCACGCTTTTTTAGAAAACTACGAGTTACCCCGTGTTTCAACCTAGGTTTTCTTTTGTTATTCTCTTGACCCGGTTATATTGCGTTCTCCGAGTATTTTTAAAACAATTTTAAGCTACATTCGTCATTTATGAATAGCCTAAAATGTATGATTTTAATGACACTTTTTAAGATACATCAAGGATGAGAATGACACAAGTAATCTTACTTCATTACTAATATAAATGCGAAGGATTAGATGGATAGATCGATGGATGTATGTGTGTTAGAGTTTGTAGCCTAAATAGCTTAACGAATCTGGATGAAATTTGGCATAGATGTATAAAACATAGTCTCGAAGACAATGTAGGCTGTTTACTTTTGTTTTTTAATGCCACACGGACAGAATCGCGGGCGAAAGCTAGTTATGTCGTAACTTTGAAACGTTCGACGAAAACTCTGAACCTTCTACGAATCAAATTCTTTTATTTTGCTTTGTTAAATAACAATAGAATGTCCCCAAGTTAGCTGACACTTCCAGTACGTTGACCATCGACACAAGATAAAACATTCTTCTAATAATTATATCTCAAAGGTGTCTTCCCCAGAATATTTCTAACAAAGGAAGGGGCCGGTGTCAGTTGCAAATTAGCGCTGAACGCGACGGTTAACAAGCGACAAAGAGTCAGGAAGTCGTGAGCACCTGCTAATTAAGCTTGCCGAGTTGTCTATTATTAAGATATAATTAAGAAAATATAAGGTTTCTACTCTTTAAGGTTTTATAATTAGAAATTATTTCGAGTTGCACGTAAACATTGTTTAACTTGTTACCGACAGCCAAAAATACAAACTTTTCTATTCAATCAAAGATAACTTTTAATTCAACTTATTTACAATAAATAATTGCAAAACTACATCGATCACATCTGGCCTGTAATACGCTTGCTTTTTCTTTTGTTTTTTACAATATCCTTTTAAAAACAAACTATACAAGTCTTGGTGGCCAGTATGCAACCTCTTTGGCTATATTCATACTTCTTGTCAGCCAGGTTGTATTTTGCACTGAACAAACATTGAAACGGGTTGTGCGGAATTGCAGACATTGGGAGTCGTTTATCATTCGTGAAACCGTTTCGATTTTGTTTTAACCACACTTACTTTATTCACGTCGCTGTTCGATAGTAAGCCTTATGTTGTATAGTGTAAGAATTGATTCAGACTTGGCAGACCTGAAACCGGTATGCTTTGAAGGAGGCAGTCATTTTTTACATTATTATCCGTGACAAGGGTAGCGATTTACTCGTAAAAATCCACTTATTTCCAACGCGTTAACAAACACATCGTATAACCCATTATGAAATTTTGAACACGTATGTGTGTGGTAAATTGAGCGCAAAGAAAACATGCCCTCGTTAATTAAACGGAAAATATTCCACGTACATTAAATTAACGAATTTAATAAAAATTTGGATAATTAAATTTGGGTCGTAATTACTGGCTACGAAAGTGCTATATTTCAGTAAAAAGATTTTATTAAATGTTTTCATTATTGAAAAGAAGGGCCTTTAATTTTTTATATAAAATCTTCGTAAAGCATTAGACAAATTGTCTTAAACCATTGGTAGTAGATAGGTGGTGACAACACAGACCTTGTTTGACAGGTTCATTTCTTTCTGGGTTCATTCCTAGTAAAATATGAATTCCAATTTATTTATTTATCCAACATTCATTCGCACTTCCATTAAAGTTAGCACTAGCGAATTCAAAGAGAGAATTTTCAAAATATAAATATTGAGTTTCATTCGTGTTTGTTCTTGTATTTAAAAAGATAAAATGTCGACGCGACGTTCAGATGAAATGGTTTTCATTTAATTATTTCATTTCGCGAATATTTTAAAGGTGAAAGTGGTTTATTATTACACAGTTAATGGCGCATAAAACTTGACACATTTCGCGTAATCATAACCTTGTAGAGGGTTACTTAATTTAAATCTATAAGTTAAAAAGGTATCTTAATTAAAATGTCAGTCCTTAGAATCTTTGAAAGATACTGAAAGGTTGCTCTTTTAAATAATATTCTAACACTATAAGTTTAATACAAAACCAAACCCATTTTTTTTTGTTAATTGCTATTTCTTTTACTTTGAAATCTTGACCTCAACAGGGCGTATTCGAGGGCTTTCATTGCTATGAACTCGATTCAAGGCGCTCGAAACAGATTTATTTCTTTGATAGCGTATTCGAGTGGCCACCTCAATACTTCTCGAAGTTTCCAGATACCGTAGACGTAAACACTTCACTTTTCTTTGTTCAGTTTTTGTCTTAGTTACTTTTATGGTACTTTGTCATGTAGATTTTATTTGAATCATATTCATACTAACATTATAAATGCGAAAGTGTAGATGGATGAATGGATGTATGTTAGAGTTTGTAGCCTAAACGGCTGAACGGATTTCGATGTAATTTGGTATAGATATAGAGGATGGTCTGGAAGAACACATAGACTACTCAGTTTTGTTTTTTTTTAATACCACGCGGACGGCGTCGCGGGTGAAAGTTAGTTTTTTATAAAATTACTTAATTTCTGGAAGCATTTTAATCTATACATGCTATTTTAAGTACGTCTCCAATTTGATATTATTCTAAACGTCACTAAGGTCTCGGTAACAAAACACAAAAACATGTCCTTTATTATTTAACTATTACAAGTTTGTAGCTTAAGTATATTATTATGTAGAGCCACATTGAAAGGTTTTTTTTTTTGTAAATTTTGCTGTTAGGTGAAGTCCTTTAGGTACAAATTGATTTAAGATTTTAAGTTGTCAAAGACTCAATAATATTTACTGTCAATTAAAGAAACATATCCAGCATTTATCAGTTTAGATGTTTTCCCGTTTCTTTAATAAATCAAATTAAATTAGTGACGTTAGCGCGGTGCAGCGTAATGGAAAATTCTGCCTACATCTGGAACGTGGCTATTTTAAGTCCGTGCACATCTTAAGTAGCTACTGGATTCGATTCCATTTCTTCGCGATGAATATACATGGAATACTAATAGGCATTAGACATTGAATTAATAGGGTTATAAGGAGTGCTGGAACACTCTAAGGGTATGTTTATGTATCTAGACATATAATAAAATTGGAGTGTCTGTTTGTCAAAAGAAAAATTCCAGATTTCAGGAAGACGATATACTATGTATGATGTAACTGTCCAAATTTACGCTAACGAAGTTTGCGTGCGACAGCTCGTAGGAAAATAAAAGTCAAGCAAAGATATGAACGGAAATCAAAATTACATTACAAATAATATGTAGGGGTCACAATTCTAGGTACCAAGATAACCTGTACTATGTTTGGGATCCATTGCATTTTATTATTCAACTCTCTGCTTCAATTTTCCTATAATGTAAATATTGTCATATTAAAAAATCAACATGTAAAAATTTAACAGTTTTTACGTCTAAATGTGAGTCATGACTATAGATCTGAACAACATAAACGATTCAAACTAGGGTAAATGTAAGTAATGACTATAGATATACAGAAAATACATACCAAAGGAGATGAGGCCACTATTAAGCATGATAAGTTTCATGCTGTTTGGTATTGATACCAGACTGTTAGTCCCTGATGTACGGAGATCCTTTTTCTTGGCCTTCTTTTCCATGTCGTACCGCGGGGCGGACCGGGACCGGTACTTCCGCTGACTGGTCGCTACCGACGTACCACGTTGACCGGTACGAGACGACATTACGATTTTATTGTTTTACTCTTGGTTTTATATAAAACTAAGAAAGTAACGAAATTAATGCACCGTCATTATCTATGCACCTTTAAAAACACCGTTTGATTTTATTTATTGTAATTTTGAATGAATACTTTAAACTATTATTTCACAAACAGTTGGTTATTGTATACGATATTTGTGTAATCATAAAATATTTATCATATCAGCTTTCTCGTACCTGGAACAAAATGAAATATTTGTTATGAAAACATCACAAGCATCTAAAAGGAAATTTGTCATAAAGTAGGTCAAATTAAGACATATTATAGTAAACATCCTCCAACGCAATGGAAGATTATGGAAAAACAAGTTGAGTCACGGTCTCTTCGTGAAAACCCGAACGCACGTTATGATGAAACGAAAAAAATATACAATTCGGAATATACTATCATATACTACTAAAATTTAACAATTGTTCTAAACAATTCAATCGTGGTGAGAAACCCGTATCTTACGAACATTATATTTGTAAAAACCACGACAGTTTAAAGTTATATAACTACTAAAATTGTTTTAAAAATAATAATCTGTTAAATAAGCTCCTATACATAGATGTATGATGTGCTTACTCAGATTTGAAATCAACTTTTGGCATAGGTAGCAACGATCAGTCTTTGCTGGGATGAATAGAACAACGGGTTCCAAGATAACTGCATTGTTAAGTGAACGTATTGTTATAATTTTAGTAATTTAAACTTATTTGTAGAACATAAACAAATGTTACTTTCTAATATACTATTTTCTTATGGATACCACGATTTTGGAGAATCTATTTAGTACTAGCTATCGCTCACGACTTCGTCTGCGTGAAATTTATAAAAAGTAGCCTATGTTACTCCCTGATAACGTAGCTTTTAATGGTGAAAGAATTTTAGAAATCGGACTAATAGTTTTTGAGTTATTTCAAAACATACAAAAATCCGTAAATACAAATCTTTCCTGTTTATAATATTAGTATAGATATCGTAATCCATGTTTATTAATCTAGATTCGTATTCGCTTTTATCTTTTATAAATAACATTGTAGAAGTAAAATAGTGCTTTATTTACTGGAAAGTGATTAATACGTTTGGGGGAAAAGAAAATGGACTGAACCTTTATTGTCTCTAATACGTAACGTCCCTCACACAAACAGATTAATCCATTGTTCCATTATTGATCGAGAAACTTATTTATAGGTTGGTTTTCCTGTTCTGCCGCTCCCGGACACGGTTTAACATCTGTCTTGCCTTATTTATGAAGAAAATAATTTTAAAATGTCACGGTTCTATTTGCAGTAGCCTAGTGGTTAAGGGTTTCGATCAATCACGTAGAAATGTTCGTTTCTCTTTTAAAAGAATATATCCATTTGCTTAATAATTTGTAGCCCAAATTCCCAGCCTCCTTGCACTATCTCATTGTCTTGTGCATGTTCCGCCTACTTATAATTCCTCAGTTACTGGGACTATCTGGTTTGGAAGTGATTTACTAATTTTGATTAAACGTAAAATTCCCATCATTATTTTTTACACGAGAAAAGTTAATTCTAAATGAGCGGGGATTATCTTCAGTCAGATAAAAACGAATTAAGATTGATGACCAAAGTAATTAGGCTTTATATCTTCGAATCGGAAGGACAGAAGCGACATATTCAATTGGGGAAACAATTTGATTGGGCTCTAAGAAATACTAGCCTTTGTGTTCTCGATGCGATTACAAAAAGAACTCATTAGGATTATAGGCGTCTTATGTAACTTAACTATACGACGTGTAGCGGACTGTTAGCGTTAAAGGTTATTGTTACTGAAATTTCGGACTTTTGAAAAATTAATTTAATTTCTAAGTATTCTCGTCCTCTTTATAGTGTCATACTATAAAAGTTAGAAATCTATAAATCGGTCTAGAATGTTCTCGACGTCTTTAATTAATGCCATTTATAATCTACTAGCTTCGCACGATACTTCGTCCGCGTGGAATTAAAACAAAACAAAAGTAAGTAACATATGTGTTCTTTCGGTCTATCACCTAGATTTATGCCAAATTTTATCGAGATCCGTTATGCCGTTTAGGCAACAAACTCTAACAAATATCCATCTAAAATTTCGCACTTATAATTTTAGTACGATAGTTTTCTTGTTTTAAAAATAAAGTTGAATTTAAAAAAGCGATAAATAAGTGGTAACTCACTTGTTAAATTAATTTGGCTTTTAACTCCTTTATTATTACATTTAAAACGCTATTAATGAAAACAAATTATGACGTGAATGATCAAGCCAATCAACAACTACGTATACGAGAAAATTAACAAAGTCACCGTATAATTAACAAACATAATTTCATGATGCTGTACGTGGCAATGTTCGAAGTTGAAAATAAATATTCCGGAAAAGCGTATAATGATATTTGCATGCAAACCCCTTTATTCATTTACATCAATAAAATAATTCGTTCAATATTTACCATTTAATTCATGACATTTATGATCACAACAATGTCTATACTTCTATATTAATATAATAAAGCGTAAACACACTACTTTGTGTCGTAGTACGTCAGCAAATACAGCATATTTTTATTAAATTATTTATAATTATTTCTTTAAAATAATGCCCTACACTTACGATACGCTTTAGGCTATATATTTTCACGCTATTAAACTTAGGGGGTAAATAAATTGAAAATAAACTTTTACGTGGGAAAGGGGCCATAAACTACAAGCTGCCAACATTAAGGAACCAAGGTTATTATTGTAATGGTAATTTTGATATTTGCATTTGACAAGTGTAAACAATAAAATACCGTTTTCATAATTTCATGCGGATGAAGCCGCACGAAAACAAATATTATATGCACCTCAATCCTTCTGATTTAAAATATACATTTGTTAACATTGTACACATCATTTAAAATATTAAAAGACTAGCTATTCCCGTGCGACTTTATCCTCAAGAAATTATGAAAATTTTATTTTATTGTTCACATTTGTTAAATTATCAATAGCAAATGTCAAAATGACATGATATGACACACCTTGGCAATCTTGCTTCCTTGATGTTGGCAGCAACTTATGGTCTCTTTCCCACATTAAAGTTTTTATGCAATATTTTTACCACCTAAGTTAAACGGCGTGTAAATATATAGCCTTAAGCGTGACGTAAGTGTAAGGCTTTTTATTAAAAAAAGAACTATTCAAAAATATGTTGTAATTGCTGACATCTTAGGCAACAAAGAAGTGTGTGTTTACGCTTTATTATAATAGTATAGATAATTGAGTATTCTTCTTTATTTACGTAAGTGTAATAAATTTTATTAAGCTTCTGCGTGGGCTGTGAAATGCTTCGTCTAGCAACAGCGTTCGTTTAAGCTTTGATGTAACTTGACTTAAGTACAAAGCGTACTTACAACTTAATAACAACTCCATGGCTTTGATAACGTGCCGTAAAATGTTTAAGGGAAATTGATGTTGGGGTAATTCCATTATTAGGGATAAGGGGATAGTAGGCAAATTTAATTTACGATCAAGAAAATAATTTGTAAAGGTAAATTTCGTTGTAAGTGAAGGGTAGAGTTTATTACAATTTCGTATATTTCTTAATAAATTCACTTATAATATTTTATTTTAATAATGATTCCTTTCAATATAGATTACTGAAATCAAATCTCTCTGTAGGACGTCCCTAATGTAATCCGTCGCATTATAAAATTACCATTTGGCCGTAACCTTTTGAATATTTTACTTCCTTAATACCTACCATTTATAAATCTTATTAGTTTTAATACATATTCAAACTTTTAACAAAAATGCCATTCATTGGATAGTTAATGGTTTATTTCTACAATCAGTAGCCATTAAATTGTGGCGAAATTTATTTTTAAATAAACATCTTTAATATATGACTATGCAATTCATGTCTATATTCAAGCTAATGTTATAAAGAGGAATGATTTGTGTCTTTGTATATATTGAAATAACTCAAAAACTACCGGGCCGATTACAATAATTATACCACCGTTAAAAGCTACGTTATCAGTGTTATATTTTTTATTGTTAAAAACAAATTGTTTAATAATAAAGTAATTTTATTTATAAAAACCTTATATGAAAAGAGATAAAATTCAATTTTATACCGAATTCTTTGATCTAGTTTTATAATTGCCTTCAAAGAATAATTTTTGATCCGACAACGACGGAAAGCCTTCATTTTCATATTTTTAATAATAAAGTGGTACATTAAATGGATGTTGTTTTATCAAAAAATATAAAAGGTTTCACAAAATAAAACTAACCAAGTGTACACATTCATCATTGTTGACATGAAATATGTAACTGTTCCAACCTCTTACTCTGTACTGGAGAATATTCGGGTCATATATAGACTATGAATAACGTATTTCAAACACTATTCATCGTATATAGGACTAGCTGTTGCTCACGACTTTTCCCATGTTTTTTTTTTTTTAAAAAAAAGAAGGAAAGCGAGCGGCGGGAACACAGAGTTGGTCAACGACGCCCATGGACATCCGCAACACCAGAGGAACTACAGATGCGTTGCCGGCCTTTGAGAAAATGATAGGCTCGCTTCTTGAAGGACCCTAAGTCTTACTGGTTTGGAAATACCACATCAGACAAACCGTTCCACAACACGGCTGTGCAAGGCAGAAAGCTCCGTGTAAACAGCAGATGGCGAGGATGATACGTAGAATTTAAAAGTCTATGTTACTCAGCGATAACGTAGCTTTGTCCATTACCCCTTTTTGAGCTTAGTGTAGTCTAAATTGGTACGTTATATCGTTCGCTTAGACTGACCCGTGAAGGGCTCGGCTGTGAGGGAGAAATACTCACAATTCAATTACAGTCCGATAGTAACAACATAGACGTGACAGCGAATGAAAATGTCTTTATTGCGTTGTGAAGTGGTACAGTTTCTATACTGTGTTTGATTGCTTCATTGTTGGAAATATAGTTTGTGACGCTTGTTCCTTTTATACGTTTTTAAAGACGTTATTAATTAAAAATCGGATTAATAAAACCACAGCTCATCTGCTCTCTTCTCATATAAAAATTAAACTTACATAAGTAAGATATAAATCGCACTAACTGGTGCTCGCAAATTCGCCCGCGTGAAATTGAAAAAAAAGATATAGCCTATGTTACTTAATGATATAGCTTTTTGCAAGAATTTTTGAAATCGGTCAGGT